CTTTCCCTATTTCTTTCGCGACGAAGAGGATCGTATTTATACGCGTGCGCGAATGGAAGATGCATCGCTTCATTCCGCGCTCCACTGGAGTTTCGCCGCTGGCGGTGGTTTTGTTCGTATTTCTAAGTTGACTGAAAGCTCCTCATAATAAAAACTGGGCCCAATTAATTTATCAAATATTTCTAAGCAGCTGGATGGGAGCATTTGCAGGCAAATAATTCGGCTCTTTTATTAATGAAAAGAAACGTGGATTCAGAATGCTGGATGCCCCGCTTGGCCCAAAGAAATTGACATTTGATAGCCTGTAAATGTACACACACGCGCACGTACAGTTGTGGAAAGCAGGCATGCGTAGCAAGAATGAGTGTACATTTAAAAATAGTAAACATTTTGCGAATGCATGATAAAATGTATCTTGTTAGAAATTTATGAAAATGCGAGCCAAGCATATGGCATGCATTGAATATTTTCATTCTGTCTACCACGCTAATTAATGTTCCTTGAGTAAATAATGTTTCGCGTGTCCTATATGGTCGTTAGAAAAATGTATTTACGAGCATTGAAAGAAAACAACCGAGATCCGATCGATCTAAGTAAATACCTGATGCATTTTTCATAAAAGTAAGCGTAAAAATGTCAGGAACAATTTATTTATATGTGCGCGAGTCTGGAGGCAACACGCGAACGGAAAAAGCAATGAGATTCATCGAGTTGAGCGACTACGCACTTACAAAAGGCCGCAATGATAATCCCGGGAAAGCATCGCATAAGTAAGTAGGCGTCCGCGCGCGCATTCGCATGAGCGAGAGACCTTTCACCCTCGGTGACTTTATCTTCGCCGCTGTAATTATTCCCCGAAGAATAATTAAGGGTCGCGAGTGTAATTAAAGGAGCTATCCTGGACCCTGGCGCTCATCGCGAATTAAAATCTTACACGTATGCGCGCGTGTGCATTTGAAAGTTAAATCCGAGATCGTGTCGCCCGGGAACGAATCTCGCACTGGTTTCACTTTCCATGCAGATTACCACGGTGTCTAGACTTCTTCCACCGAGAATCGCCATTGCGGATGGCCGGTGAAATTTGCATTTTAATATTTCACGGAGCCTATTTTCAAAATTAGCGAGGACTTTGTCCTTTAACGCTCATCCGAATCAGTGCTGAGCATTACGTTAAGGCGAGACCTCGAGTGACGGGGGTCCACTATACAATTTCAATAGCACCAAAGTGAATTATTACATTATCATTCGTAGTCTCTCCGTCTCCTGCAAATTTATAATCCAAACTTTATTGAAATTTACAAAGTAGTCGAGTTACATATCCCAATCACGTGCCTAAGTTATTTCGTTACTACCACCACCGCCGCCTCCTCCAACCCCACACCCCACCCCCTCACTCACACACACACGCGCTCTCTCTCTCTCCTCTCTCTCTCTCTCTCTCTATCCCTCTCTCTCTCCCTCTCTCTCATCAAATCAACGGCCCGGTTGCATCTGTCCTTGTTTTCCTTTAAAAACCGTTCTCTCCTACAGAAAAATTACAATAAAAAAGGTGAAAAAATCTATGCCCGAACGTCGCATTCTGCTAATATCGAAGACAATCATTATTTACACGAAGGTGAAATTATATCGATCGAGAGCTGAATCGCTTTTCGGAGAGCGTTTGATGGCGCGAGTATCGGCCCCGCTCTACGCAATCACGAGGAATCGTGCGAGCGAGTGGCCAAGGATCTCGCCCGCCCGACAGGAAAAAGATAAAGGGATAATCAGCGAAAAGCTAATCGACGCCCAAAGAAATCGTGCGGTTAATCCGGCCGCTCCGACGCTCACTTGTCATAAAGGCACGCGATCCGCATACGGAATGCGGGCGCAGACTCCGCGTGACACGAGCTAACCCCAGCGTCGATTTAATAATGGAACGCTTAGTGGATTCGGGGACTGGTAACGCGTTACAATTTTTCCGGGCGAAGGGCGAAAGGGGCCGAGTTCGGATGCCCTACGTGAGTAGCATGTGCGAAGACGCGCGTGCGAGAAGACGACCAAGGAGGGAAAAGGAGCCCCGACGGCACGTAATCTATTTGTCGGACGACCACGGCGCCCGGATACGGCGGGGGGTCGTGCAGCAGGAGACGCGGCCCTTCACGATTTATACCCGCGGGCCCGCGTAATTGCATTGCGCGCCCACACCATGCATATTCAATTGAGCACAGTGGCAACGCTTCGCTCGATTAGCCGTCCGAGGAATTTTTCCCTCTGTATGCTTCACCTCGATCGCGGTCCTATAACTACTTTTTTTTTTTTTTTAACTATTTGGCGAGTGAGGCAGGATCGTCGAGGAGGCGGTACGACGCATCTGCCGCCTTGTCTATTTGGTTTCGCGGGGCGATTGCGGCGGGCGATCGCAGTCGAACGCGAGATTCCTGATGTAATTGAGAGAGGAGTGACGAGTTGGCATCAACTGCCGGAGTGAGCAGCGATTATTATGTTCTGAGAATATCGTTAGCCCTGTTCATTGAGGATGATTACCAGCGCGCAAGTGAATTGTAAGCAAATATTGCTTTTATGAATTGCGGCTATTTCAATTGCAATCCATTAAAAAGTTTCAATTCCTACGGATAAGGAAATTGCCGTTTCATCGATAGCAATGATGGCGATACTATGGCAAGCCGATCGTAAAAATATCATCTCCATCGGGGGTTATAAAGTTGCCGAGGTAGAAGTAACGATGTCATTACACAAAACGAAAGCTTCGAAAAACGAGGCTCGCACGCGTCAAATGCTACTTGTTTGCCGAATAATCATTAATCGCTATCATTAAAAAATCAATAGAAGAGCTACGTCGATAGTCGGAATATTCGCGGATCATCGTTATAAGCCTCGGAATCGGGATTAGCCACTAGGAAGTACGCGGATTTAAAGATCGTTGTGTGAAATCGGCGAAAAGTGACTGGATAATTAACGCGAAATTGAATATTTTCAATGCTGGGGAGTTAGGCTAGCATGTAAATGAGGATAGGACGCCTTTGCCACCGCCAAAGCCGCAGTCGATGGACCGGTTCGATCGCGTGGAAAAAATCATTAAATCATGGCTGGATTCGCTTGCCCGTTCGCTAGCTAATTCAACGGTCCACGGGCTACCGCGATTCGCGTGCCAATACGTCCTACGTATGCATGTACCTGCACCGAGCAATACTTTGTAGGCATATTTATGGCGATTGACTGTTTAGCCCCTCCTTCCGCCCTCACTCGCTCTCTCTCTCTCTCTCTCTCTCTTTCTCTCTCTCACGCGCGCACGCGCGCCATTACCCTACCTGGTTATCTCGGGCTCTTGCCATTACCGCATATAAATTAATTACCGATACTCGTTAACCATCGCCGAGCCTCTGCTGGGTGCTGATGAGTGTGTAATACGTGCCCTACGAATGACTGCAGAAATGTATTGGTTTGAATGCGCGAGTGTACTTTATAACTACCGGTGATAAAGGGACACTTGCTAAAGGAGGACTTTGCATTTTTATGGAGCGGAGGAAATTGATTGATAAGTTTCTTAATTGGCACCCGGTCTTCAAGACATCCAGAGATCGACAATTTTTTATCTCGTTCACGTCACTCGGCCGCAGATTATTTCGTTTAACATTTACATATATTTGTCGTTAAGAGAACAAATCAAGATATCCTCTCTTTGTCTGTCTCTCTCTCTCTCTCTCTCTCTCTCTCTCTCTCTCTTGCTCCCTCCGTATTTGTAGTTTCATACTATAAATATAATTTTTTACTCTTAATTTTCGGTAAAGCAAAGGAATCTAGCTAATAATTATGATTTATGTATTATGTATTATTAAAATGATAAAAGAAACATTGAATAAGTAATGTGAGATTTCATACAAATGTCATATGGATATAATAAAGTAGTGCGATGAGTAAACTGTGATATAAAGAATTTTTATGGGTATATTGGCTTATAAGTTTATAAATGCATGAAAGAATGGCTGCTACTTCAAATTAGTTGCTACATATGTCCATGACAGCTGAATATAAATGATTCAATGAAAACAATAACAATGATAATAATTAAAACAACTGAAAAACGTAACGTGACATGCTGATAAAATTGATGAGAAATGTACCCACGATGCAAGCAGACGGAAAAGCGCATAAATCTATCGGCGTTCCGGGTTTGGCAAAAAGTGCAAGAGAAATAGTCGAATAAGGCACGGCGTCAAAACGAATGTAACGAGTCGCGTGTTGGCCATTAAAGCCGAGTGTGTCGCGTTCGCAAACCTGACGGCCAATGAATCGCATCAATGGTCGCGACCGTCGATTAAATCGTCGCCGTTTCGAGAGCAGTCGTCGCCGACATCGACGCCGACTTCGACGCCGCAGCCTCCGCGAGAAATCGTTTGTGTTACGTGCAGACCCCGAACGAGGGGCAGCGGGATACAGTTAGAGTGGAGTGGGATGAGATCGGACAGGGGCAAACGCCGTCTCGGCTCTTCATTACGCGACTGCGACGCGGCGGTCGACGATCGCCGCGGTTAATTGCGGTAATTAATGTCCTCGCGCTAGGCCTGATCCTGCGGTGATTTCCTTTATGTCGCGGCTGCTGCCTGTCGCCACTGCAGCAACGGCAGCTCGCGAAAGCGATCGCGACTGGCGCTCGTGAGGCGAACCGTGTGACACAACACTAGAGAAAGGGCGGATTATTCCACTTACCCATGGCATCTGAAACAAAAAGGAGAGAGAGACGGTTAGTGTGCGTGTGTGCGTGCGCGAGCGAGTGAGTGCGCGCGTCTGCCGTTGGACGGTCGTCCGTCTAGGGTTATCGTTGCGTATTGCGTACGCGAGCGTGTGAATGCCGTAGCTAGGAGCACGCGCGCGCTTCGACACTGCCGATTCAATGCATCTTCTCGGAAAGACTCTGAGATTAATTCATCGTTAAATTTGTAATAATTTCACAAATTATTAAACGCTCGCATTTCACAAATAGGCTCGGTTTGCCAGATTAAGCTTTCCCAGTGCCTTTTTCTTAGTCCTGAATTTTACATTACATTAGCGGCGCGTGTCTTTGATACTCCGATATTAAGAGCACTACGACACATAATTGTACGCACAGTTAAGGAATAATTTTGCCATCCGGCTTCGCGTACTTGTGCGTCATCGAGCATTGATTGCACATTCCACTGCACAATGATTACAGTGACCTTTCTTTAATGTCGATTACCAAGTACATTACGAGCGGCTCATTAATTACAAAAGCATATAATTATTCACACTCGTTAATGCTGGCTAAATCAATTCGCTTAGGAATTATTTCCGTACTTATTATTATCCCTTAAACCAAAGTCAGCTTAAAATCTATAATTATTTATGACCTCCGTTTCATTATTGGACGCTGCTAAGAATGTATTCATCGCAATACAAACCGTCGTAACAGATCTATTCCAGTCGTGAGATTACAAAAAACTAGAACTCTGAAATTCAGAAGCGTGGGCTTTACATATGTCTCCTACTTAAAATACATACGTTCTTTAAGCAGTCAACGGAAGTGACCTTTTTTATTCCGTTCTTCTTTGAAATAAAATATTTTCAAGTTTTTAATGTACATAATTCATTTGTAATAGAAAAAAATATTTGAAGATGACATAAGAATTAGAAAAGGGGAGAAAAAAAACCCTCTGTCAGATGTTTCGAGTTCTCCTCGTTCCAACACTAATAAAAACACGATAAAACGTAATGCGTAATAAGAGGAGTAAAAATAATTAGATTAACAATACTGGTGAAGTAACTGTCGAGCAATTTGCTTCGAAAAGTCGGGTTAGAAAAACGTCTTATTAAGACCGCACGACGAAGCCGCACGCCGACTCATTATAATGTGTTACCATGTGCAATAACTTACGTGAAATTGACGTGTGCCCATTGTCGCAGGGAGACAAAAATAAATTGAGGAATACGTACGGAACAGCTTTGGGAAGCTTTCATTCGTCAAATCAACGCGAAATAATAACGATGCACGACGCATTGGCCCCGATAGCAAATAGAATGGGCCATGAAAGTGCAACCGTCCTCCTCTCGCAGAGGCGCACACGTACTATGGATGAGGTCGACACCGCGGTACATCTATCTCCGGTTTATCACTCCTAGTCGCTCAAGTGCATGTGCTCAAACGAGCCCAGGAAGTACGTAGCCGGTTGACATTTTCGCGTGTCCTCATCCACTACGAGAGACTTTGTTCCACTTGGCGATCGTCGGCAGAGGCTTGGAAAAGGCTTGTGCCATTAGAATGCCAACGGCTGGACGACCATTGACGTCTCGAATTTATTAGCCTGCGCGAGTACCACTGAGATTTTACGAGAGCGCTCACAAACGTGGACGTGGGCTCCTGTTTGGATCTTTGCTTCTCTTCTCAAACGCGTGAGAAAGTACGGTTAGTGGAGTTAGGCTGTGAAGGCCGGTAGGGGACAGATGGGGGTCGAGGTGGTCGGTGTCCGACCGCGACTGAGTTTCCTTTCCTGGAATCGAATCGCCAAGATTAAGACGATGGAATATCGAAAGGAGCTAGCGCGCGATGTCGCTTTTGCAAAATGATGATATAGGAATCAGCTGAAGCATGATTTCGAGGAATGCGCCTCGTTTGCTCGCGATAAGCTATTCGGCCGAGCGTGCAAACGTTGAATCTCAAGTTTACAATGATTACGTAAGGCCTAATTAAAATGATTAATGGCCCGAGGCTAAGCATTGATTATAATTATCACATAATACCATAGCACGCGAATCATTGGAATTTTACAAGATTGTCGATTGTGAGGTTAGGATGCGGGCGATGAGTTTTAATGTATGCTAAGCTTCTGAAACTGAAAAACTTCTCGGTGATAATGTTTTTATAAACGAGTTAAAATAAACGTGACTTAATTATCCAGCAATATACAAAATAATAATCCATTCCTACAGAGTGCCACTTGCGCAATTTTCCGAACTATAAAATCATATTCAGCCATGAAAAGCTACGTTACACGCTGGATTCCGTGGCTCGGCATTTGTATTCCTACATATTGTGAGGCCCTTCCGAATACACGTTTAAAAAAAAAAAAAAAATACTTTAAAGTATTGTAACAAATACAAGGAAGTTTAACGCATGAAAATAGAAAATTCTGCGTGCTTTAAAGGCTTCGTAAAGCATATATCTCTGCTCAACAATATATATTTAAATTAGTTCAAAGAATATTCGTTGGAATTGAAAGAAAAAAGAAAAATAAAGAAAAAAAAGTGACGATTAGATTTTGAAATGTCCGTTAATTTATTGTAGAAAACCACGAAATGGCTTATTTAAGTTACAAAAAAAAATGTTGGTGCTGCACGAGTTCATCCGTGCTTCCAAAAATAATATATTTTAACATATTTTAAAACTAACTTAATCCCCACTGTAATTAGCCTAATCAAAACGGCCGATCAGAATTCTCGGACATTTTACAAAATGAGGATAAAAAAGAAAGAGAGTGACTCAAGTTTCTGGATTACATCCAGATAGATCGCTATGAAAAATCGTAAAGAATTTAATAGTTTAACTTCGAGGAGTGGAAAGTAAGTTTTCTCACCACTGACTGCAGTAGGCAAAGCCTCGATAAATACGTTCTCTAATGAAGCATCCGATCTTTCGAAAATCATCGAGAAGCTCTCGATTAAAAAATTCCAGCGGTCACGCTAAGCCGCACTACGAGTCCCAGCAGTAGCACGGACCGTCGGCCTGAGGACGATCGAACGGAGCGACCGGTAGATCAGCACGAGATCGATCTCGCGAATCGAATTTCTGACTGCCCGAAGGATCGCGACGCGATGTATAAGTGAGACATTAAGTGGGCGCTCGTTTCAACGACACGACACGAAACTCGTGCGTCGTCCTACACGCGCATGTCCTATATCCTTAGGCGTAGCGATACGCTCCAAAAACGTCGCGGTAAAATCGCGACAAAAATCCCCATTAGGTCGTTCTCTCGGCTCTCGGCTCTCGGCACTTAAGAGTACCGGGGAATGAGTGAAATACAGATGGAGAGAGAGAGAGAGAGAGAGAGAGAGAGAGAGAGAGAGAGAGAGAGACGATCGGGTGTTATATACCTACGCGGCTCTTTTTTTGCGGCCTCGAACGCTGAAAGCGTCGTGCCTCCGGGTGATTCGCCGGAATCCGGGGGCCCTCGCATTGTCACCCAAACTGATGCTCGAGATCTCGCTCTTTCCCCAGCAGTGTGCTCGAGATTAATTAGGAGCGGTGCTAGTTGTAGCGGCAAAAATCGCCGGCAAGAAAATAAGCCGCAAGCCGACCGAGGCTAGGACAAGAACGTGCTACAAATTAAAGCCGAACCGGGCCGAGCCATCTCGAAAATTTGCCGGGGCTGCGCTCGTTTCCGAATTCCAGCAGCTCACACGGAGCAGCGCCGCCTCGATCCTTCGTTACCGGTGCTGATAGAAGCCTCGTCATTAGGAGCGATTTTTGACGGATCGCTATATCATCGCTTGACTTGCGATCTTCTCCCTCCTTGGCGCTTAATGCACGAGGAGTTGCGCGTACATTTTTTTCCGGGGGCTCTTTGCCGCTGTCTCGCGCAGCTAATCCAATTAAATATTTTGCACGAGCGATGTATGCGATATCCTATTATTCCACAATAGTTTAATATCGGCAGTGCGTTTTTCGGCAGTGCGTTTCCTGGGCCTGAGGGCTTAACGAATGAGTGAACGATGCACTCGGCCCGACGGCCCAACGGGCCCCCGTCAAAGAGATGCACAAGGCACAGGGGAAGAGAATATTTATTACGCTCGGTTGTGTAAGGTCGTTTTTATCGGGTCGTGGAGCATCTGCTGATTCCATTATAATCATCAAGTATTTAAGTTTCATAAATGCTCCCTTTACCGGCACTAACGATTAACAATAAATTAGAGGTCGGACGAACCTCTAGGAAAAAACGAGGCGGACGTAGCCGCCGTTAAAAAGTTCGTCAAAAATGTAAAAAGCCGCAGTGGCGCGTCCCCGGCCCTCGGTAGAATATCTCGCATACTCGGCTGTCTAAGCGAGCGCGATTTTCGCGCAAAAAAACCATTGCCCTTGGATTACCATTTAAGAAGCGCTAAATTAGACTCGCGCGTTTCGGGAATTTGACGTGGCGCATATATGCGCGATTCCCTCCCATCTCGGTAGGGAACGAGACACGGACGAAGAGACGACCATCGGTGAATCGGTGAGACGGTGAATCGGGGGAGTGCGGACGGGTGGAGATAAGGCCGGGGGGGGGGCATCCTTCTACATTCCTCTTAACAAATTTCGGGCGCTGGCAAAAACTTGCCATGCCCGTTCGTGGGCGACGCCTCGGCATTAGAACGTCGGCGCGAGCGACGACGAATGAAAGAGGAGAGACGCAGACAAGGTTTATACCCCCGCCGCGATCCTCCACCATCGTCGTCGCCCGTCCCTCCGCCGTTACCGCCGCCGCTACCGCCGCCGCTACCGCCGCCGCCGCCGCCGCCGCCGCCGATTGCTCCATGCTCCGTCAATACTGCATCGATAATTTTCATCCGATCGCGAACTTCTTTTCGCGCGGCCTAATGCAAAAACTAATTACGCCAGGCAGATATTTATTGCACCCACGCTGTGCGTACAGATCGCACATAATGCCATGCGGTAAGAAGGGTCTGGATAGTATTTCATTATTTAGGTATTTCGAGCAAGAAGTGCGGTG